ATATATATATATATATAGTATTGTTTTTTAACAGTCTCTAGGTATCAGGATTTGAATTGGGAAATCATATGTGCAATGTTATGTACAATCATGAAGCAATCATCATTCTCCTCACTACATTATCGTAATCAAATTTTCAATTTGATTATGTTTTCATGAGTATATCATATGTTAAACATAGTATTTGAATTATGGCTGATAGAAATGACACGAATGAATCGTATGTGGTGGTATCTGTTTATTAGAGTGCAATAAAAAGCATCTAATACTGCAACGAAACAAAAAGTGGATGTTTTTCTGGTGACCGCGGTGAATTGTTTTAACCGTTTCATTGTATTTGATACATTTTTATGATATCATCTTTGGAGAGTAAAATGTAATCAAATTTACGACTGATGCAGTATACCATAACAATAAGTCAATTGGCTGAACGAGTCAATCGCTAATGCAACAACGAGGTATATGTTGACTAATACGGTTGTTCTTATGTGGTTGTTGGTGTGGCTTGAATTCGAATTTAGCACTTTTTATTCTTACCTTTCAAAGACGATATTGGGTGAATCAAAATAACAAAGTAGTGCTGTTGACAAATTATCACTCATGCAATTAGCAATAACAACGATAACGTCCAACGTGTCGGCGGTGTGCCGTCCTCAGCATCTTTTTGAATGAAAAATGATATATTGTGAAATTATATTTACGCTGCCTTCTCAAAAGGTATATAAGTATCGAAATTTGTCAATATCTCATAATATCAATCTTCGACTTTCATAATATCACGAATTAGTTGCTAGAGCATCGTCATGTTTGAATGTTAACATTGTTGTGATTCTAGCACAATCAATTGATGAGTGATGTTCAAAAGAAAAGATTTTTACATGGCAAGATTAAGTTCGTGTAACTGAATGTATTAGTTCAAATACTATCTACCGATGGTGTTGTATTACATGATACGTGTGATAAATAAACGCGTGTATGTGCCTGGATATGTCTTTACCGATTGCACAACATAAAATTTACGACATCTTTGTGCGTATCATAAGATGCCTTAAGGGAACGGTGTTTCCTTTGTGAATGGAGTAATAAGTCATCTTGCATAAGTGGCGGTATTCAATAACGCTGATATCGCTGCGCCTGTGGTAAGGAGATGATGCTATATTCATGAAAGGTATCATACTATTGCAAGAGTGAGGCATTACAATCGTTGTTGGAAGAGCTTTTGTTATTGCTAATAAGGTAACGTTTATGAGAATAAAACGGATTGCACACAGTTTTTTGAAAATATGAATTGAAATTTGTTAGGAAGTTGAAAGCCATTGGCGCTGATGCCAACAAACTCAGGTTTGTGCTCATTCTTTCACGTTTTCCTAATGAATCTATGTGCTCTTCTTCATCCTGATAGGTTTGAGATGGCTATCTGAGTAATTTTGATCAAAAATAAACCAACAGTCCACCAAATGAATCGTTCTGCTCAGAATTGGCCTGAAATCATCGAGAGTTCTCCGTTAGTACCAAACTCAGCGAAAACTTCAGGAATTTGTGGATTTAAAAAACTTTCGCACTATTTCCAAAAAATCTGGTAACTTAGAAACTGACTATTTTGAGGTCTGCCAATAATTTAATCTTAAATGGATGTATAAAGGTTATGTGATTCATTTTTATACGCAGTTGATGGGAATCTGAAATCATTAAGAGAACCAGGATTTTTAGACAATAGTGGAGTGACTTAGTTGTGTTTTTGATCATAGTCGTTTTAATTTCCTTATCAACTTAAACGCCAATGATGGGTAACTCACGAGCATATAAGGGAAATGTGAGCATGATGGGCTCATGCAAAGGCAATTTTACCGAGTGAACAGCCACAAATATATTTCTATAGTAAGCAGCGAGTGAGCAACTGCGAGCGAACTCATAGGCAGTGTCCATAACTGACTCAAAAATTAGAGAATCTGGTAGGGAGAATGGGGAAGGTGCCGGTGAGGAGAGACAGTAAAGCTTTCATGCGAACCTGAGAATAAACTTAGTTTGAAAGTGTTGTTCTTGATATTGCCAGCCTCTTTCATACATTGATCAATGCAGATATAATGTATTGGAATGAGGGGATTATCTAACTGAGATGGTTTCAAAAAATCCTCAATATTGTTTGATGTAAACAAAATCGCCCCACAGCATATATATTTTTCTGAACCTCGAGATTTTGAATAATCCGTTGATGTAGAGAAACAGTCATGCTTCCGGGTAAACCTGAGAGTGTCGTTACTTTGAAAATGGTGATGTTGATATTGCGAATCTCTTGTACACATTGATCAGTGCAGATACTAGGTACTGGAGTGACTGGTTTAGCTATGTGAACTTGAGAAAAAACCTCGTTTGAATGAGGTACACCAGATATTTCTGAATTGAGGCATTGAGTGAGCACCACTGTGATCAAATGAGTAGATTGTGTTGACTGAATGAAATCGCTCAGATGCATGACATAGACTTAGGAAATCAGCTATGCCCTTGAAATCACACACATGCATGCTTTTCAGTCGGCAGCATATGCGCTTTTCTGAAAGTAAAGATCCTGGTGAATCCCACTGCGTTTAAAACTTGAATGTTTCAGAGTGAATTTGACGACATACTCAGTATGAAAATCGTATTTCTGAGATACATGGGATGAAGCGGCAGAATAAAACCGGTCAACTGCACATTATAGCTTGGAACATTCATCTTTATCGTTGAAAGTATGAAGTATCGATCCACTCTTCTTAAAACAGAGGATCTGTTAAATTCGTCATGTTATGAACTCACTTGTTCAGCTCAGACTCGACGAAGTAAATAGTTTGAATATGTTACTCTAATATTACGTTGTGTTGCATTGATAAATCAGCACTGGTGTAACTCGGTCAGCAGAATGACAGAATCCAGTATTCAATTATATCTTTCAAACATCGCATAAGTAGTCGGCAGCAAATATATATTTCTGAAACTAGATCTTCTGAATCCGAATTTTCAAAGGATAAGAGCATAGGAATCGATCATCTCTTGCTGATTCTGTTTCGTTGCATTGTGGTATTTCCATTGGAACACCTTGTTTGGTTATTTGTGGGTGAGGGCATTCTCGAACTGAAAGGCAAAAGAATCGAATGATTCGGAAACAGTTCTGACATCAGCTGAAACTAGTATGCAATAACTGGTGATCGGTAGAGAGATTAAATGGTTCGGGAAAGTTAGGCGATAGTTATGGAGGGTTCAGCTATAGGAAACATTCAGAGCATTATCGTCCAACATTTTATGTAACTCCTTCATCGGGCAGAATCTCTTCTATTCGTTGGTTCCTAGGAACCATCTCGAAGTTGAGCAAATCCGAGTTCAGTGGTCATCTGAATGTCATATCAGATGTGAAAACATATTTTAAAACTGATTCGGTGCTGCTGTTCTCCACCCATCCAGTCGACTATTCACTTTTCAGGATTATGTTATGACAGTCGATTTGAATAGTTACATGCTGGATCACCAACTTCTAAAACCCAAGATTTGAAGGTACCGGAAACGTGGGAAGCTGTGTTGAATACGCGCTTCAATCAAAGTAAACAATCTCTTCGAGCTGATTATCGCAAAATATTCATTAAGGTGCTCAAATCTGCGCTTCGGCATTCCCATTAAGCCTTTCTTGAATGACCTCTGCATGCTCAAATCTCCTTGCTAACGTCACACTTTCTTATATAATCTTTATATCTGTGTGATTTTGGTCGGAGACATTGCACTGATTGTTTTTTCGTTTCGGTTATTTGGTTCACTCGCATTTTATTATTTTGGTTCACTCTATGCTGCATTAGTTAATAACATTATTTCGGAGTGAATCGTCTTTATTCATAAACAATCACATTTTATTCATAAACAAGCACAACAACAAACAATACAAAAAATCTGATCATGAGTTTCAGCAAAAAACGCACGAAATCGAGCACTTTTTTACTTTAGAGGGGGGGGGGGGGCGCACGCGNCGCATTCTCGAACGTTCGAGTTGTGCATGTCAACTCGAACGTTCGAGAATGCGAGACAGCATATGAAGTTGAGAAAGTTTTGTCATCAACACATTTTGTAAGATATACTTTGATCAATGTGATGACAGTGATTGAAATTTGAAGTTAGTTAGTTAATGTTTGAATGAAATGTTCACTTAAATTTGTGATGCAGTTGAGAAATGCTCTTCAGCATGATTGTATGGAATTGATTAGGTGATTGAACTGAATAGGATATGAAACAATTAAGTTCATGTTAACGAGAGCGTTGGTATTGTTGTGAAGTGCTTCTTATGCACTTCCGCACATCTTTCATCGAAATATCTCTGAGCACTGTAAACTTCCCAATGAAACTTAAATGTACAGATTACTTTAAGGTGAAGCTAATCTAGGAAATATCGCAGTAGCGAAGTTATGCTCATAAATGAAGGAATTGCTTTCGATATGGCGTAGTTCTATTCCCTTTCGACATGTTTTATCGCCATTTCGGGCAGTACTATCACTTTTTCAACAGTATTGAGCTGAGAGTTACAATCAGTTTCGGTAAGTGATATAATTCGGGATTCCTATTCTCAGTACAATGTAAGGTCACTTCCTAATATCGGTCTGTGATCGTTACGCTCTGAATCTACACGTTTCCAGTAATACAACTCTATTCCTAATAGCCTATTCAATTGCACAAATCAGGTATAGACGACGGAAAAGTTAACATGCTTCACCAATTATTAAGGATAAGGTCAATATTGTAATCCAGTATTCACCTAACTGATTTCGGTGTCCTCGCATGGACCAGAAGACCTTACGCTAGAACCCAGATAAACAAGGAAAATCTGTTCATGCGTCCTATCTTTGCATTCACTACTTCACTCTCATTAGTCACGAACTGCGAGGTTACAGCACTCTTTCAATGACTTATCTTCTCTTCGAAGACGCTAGTTAAATCATAAACTGAAAAACGCTGATTAAATCAACGTGCTGTCTGACTGGACGGTAATTGACATTCTTCGGAATACACACTTTATTAGAAGGGAGCAAGATGGATAAAATTAATATAACAATACAACAAGCAACATAACAACAACAACAACGATTGCACAATGAAAGTAATAATGAAACAACAATGGAAAGTTTACAAATATCACAACCTTCTTTTGGCAAAATCAATGAATAATGAAAACAGTAATAAATCATGATCAAGTTCTAATTCATTAAAAAAAAAATCATTTTGTGCATGTCGATAATTCTCAAGTGACGTTCGATCATCAGGCGTTAAATACATATCTTCCACTTCAATGGTCTGTAAATCAATGAACGTAATTGAAGTATTCATGAACAAAACTGAAAGAATCTGTCGGGAATAAGCGAAAACAGACGTAACTATAAAACCAACGTCATACAACTTCTGCACCTGACTCAATAAATTTGTTTGAAAATACAGAATCAAATAAATCATATGTTAAAGTTCGTTCAGGTGAAGTGAAAGAAAAATAAATTCATCATTTGCGGGATCACTGCAGAACAATTAAGCAACCTGCTGTTTTTTTGTTGCCTCATCAAGATTTGCATCACTTTCAATATTCGCAATTATTGATTCCATTTTCAGCTGTCGCTCGATAAGCATTCTTAAATTATAAATATTCAACTCAAATACAAAACTTAAGCTTAATTCGAATTCGAATATATGCCTGTAAGATATGATGAATGCTTAATGAACAGATATGCACATGGAAAAAAAGCGGAATAGTTAAAACGGGCAGATGCTTACTTATTTTGCTTAGTCTCATGACGCCGTCGAACGATCACATTACGCAAAATCTGAAACATACGAACGAGTCAAGCATTGATATATACGTTATACACTTAACGTATGTGCAATGCATGATGAACAATGAAAAATGCATTATGATGGAAAAGGAATGAGAATGGTCGGTGAAGCAAAAAAAGAATGAAAATAAAACCATCTGCAGAAAAATAACTGATTTAAAAAACGATAAAAACAATGCAAAATTGTAATTACCTTACAAGTTCTTTCGTACCACAACTGCGCCACATCACTTAAATCAACATGATACAGACAGAAGGTTCGAGCTGGGGCAAAATCATTCGTCTTGGCAATGTGCTTCAATTCAGTCATGTTTAGTTTATGCACTAACAATGCTATTGATATTACTATCAAAAGGACCATATGGTATTGAAATTTCATGAGCGCTCGGTACACCTTAATCACACTGTGACAAATGGAAAGGTCACGCTAAAACATATTTGAGCAGGCATCCTTAATGAATGAGCATGTAAATCTTTCACGAATAGATCAATTAAAATTTGAAACTAAAAATAAATTAGATGAAGAGGAAAGATTGGAATTATTAAATTTTGTTTCAGGTTGACTATTTGAGAATATTAGAACGAACGAACCCGAACAGAAATGAAATTCTCATCTAAGAGCGCATAGCAAAGGTGTTTACTTTCTTTAGCGGATAACATCGCCAATTTTTCGATCTGAAAAACAAAATTTCAATTTTTTCTCATGGTTACGAATAAAGTGTAAAATGGAAAAACGGAATGCGATTCATTGAAAAATATTCACTTCTCCAGTGAACGACAATTATTGAAATTTATTCGATGTACGTTCATGAAGAATATGAAAATCATGCGAAGACTGAAAATAAGGTGTCATCACAAAACATAAACCAAAATTCACCTGTTCTTCTTCGAGATATCCTTTCTGCACTAATAGCCTAAATATACGAACAGCCAATGAATCAAATTTCTCGCGTATCACAGACTCAAGAGCCAACTGACATTGCACGGAGATCGCCTTTTCGAAATCTATGTTAATGAGCTACACCTTACAACATAGTGTACAATTGTATCATATTGAGGCTGTGATTACGATAACGACGAAATCTTGTGTTCTTCACGATGCTTACTTATGAGCAATTCGAAGAAATTGTGATTCAGCTCTATAAAGAATAGCAACCGAAGAACCACAGAAATTTTCGATCTTTGGGTGATTTCAAATAAACGCATCTTTGAATTTTCAAACACCGAACTAAAATGACAATATCTCGAAAAGACCAAAACGAATTTTGAAAACAAACAAACCGACAACATAAAGTCCTCCAGCACTATCCCCAATCCGTCTAACAATTTGATCTTGATCATCACATAATATTCGCAATGCTACTTCAATATCTTTCTTCTCAATACCCATATCGTTATTATTTGCTGTACGCACCACATCTTGTATCTTCAGATTGATATTTCCTCATTATTATCACTATTATTACTACCATTACAGTTGGGATCTCTTACAACAAATCCATTCTCACAGACACAAAAACGCATTAATTCCCTATGTACCACGACCTGCAGAAACGTTTCATTCTATGCAACAGATAAATCATGAAGGCAGTATGCAACAAAACGGTGCAACTAACTGAAATTGGGAATGAAGCGGCTGCTTTTGAATCAGCTTTGAGTTCACTAATTTTCAATAATGTCCGAATTGTTTTGGTGCATTCCGCCCCGAAACTGTCAATCCTATCGACGACACTAACCACCATTTCATCGCGGAGATATCGCTCGAAGCGAGGATAATTCATTCGCCACAATATATCACTATCGCTATCACCATTCTTTTCATCATGGTCACGTTTCCGTTTTCCTATCATTACAATATGTTCAATGCATCATTCAATTCATTCGAAATGTATTTTTGAATCGAATACTTCATTTGACCAATCATTTATAATCGTTCAATCCATTACCTCTTATAGGATTTACAAAAACTTTCAAGAAGAAATTTTCATCTTTCCAAATATTTTTTTCTGAAAAAACATGACCAACGATTCCCAAAGTAAAAGAGAGGAGTCGATCAACTCAAAAAACGAGGTGATAAAAACGAAGAACGCAAATAACTACTTGAATCGGAATCGTTCTTGTTCTGTTGCTTAATATTATTCAGTACCAAATCGGGCACTAGGAATGGATCAGGTTCCTTCTCAAACATCGGACCCATATCACCGTACAATTCCACTTTCGCACATCTTATCACCAGCTGAGCTTCAGCTAGCCGTGCAAATTTTGTTTTGATCTGAAATGAAAACTGAGGGATTTTTAATGTGAATTTATTTTTTGGCGCAACATTCTTTCCAGAATATTCAAAAAAAAAACAACTTAAGAATTGAGAAAGCTCAATCTTGATAGACAATAACGAATACAATGGTACCAACAAATGCAAAACGAATTAATAAATGAACGACGAAGTGAATAGCACACCTCACTGATTGGTGCATCCAAACGATCTGAAACGCACCGTAAACAATCAGAACATGATAACCTTCCTCGACACACCAGTTCTTCACCAATCGCTTCAGCCACCTCACCATACAACGTTTTGATTATAAATAAACATCTGGTTGATCTCAACAAGCGCAGTACATCTTCAGGCTTTATCGAATAGATTATTCGACGATCTTCTTGACGATACGATAATACATTGTGTTGTTCGAGATTTATCAACGAACGTTTTAACTTGAAATTTTGTGTTTATAATTATGATTTTTTCAAAGATCTGTATGCAACAACAAGATTTAATTGAGCAAAGGCTGAATGCAAATATATAGGTGATTACGAATGAAAATTTCAAGATTTCGCCATAGTTTATCCACCGACAACGAGGCTCATAATTGAGCATTATCTGCTATGACGTAAGAGGCATTACTATCAATTTTAAGGTCGACGTGTATCGATCCAAAATTTGTGACGAAGTAATCAGATAAAAACAGGAAAGAGAATATAACAAAATGATTTCCACAAAAAAAAATTTTCCAAAAGATACCTGACTGATGCTGATACTTTTGTTCAGTTTCGCTGCAATTGATGATAACGTGCTCTCACCACAGAGAAGCACATTGGCCACTGACCTAACAACCGGTCCAAAGTAATCCTCAATTATCTCACAACACGCTTCCACCTCACACGAACTCATTTTTCATCCGAGTGTGGAACACTTCAAAATCATTATTATTAATACTATTAAATGATGTAGTGCCAAATCGTCGACCGATGCACGTTTTACTTCTTTCAATCCATAAACAAACATTCAGAAGTAAACAACCCTTATTTACAATAAGATAAAAATAAGCACATGGCTTGATTTGTAAATCAATGCGATTCAAATGAATACGAAAAACTTCATATGCTACTGAGAATGATATTTATTCAATAATATGTACTCAGCATGCACCGACAATTCCATGAATCATCTGTTTTTTCATTAAAAACCAACGCTAAGAAGGAAAAGCATACTTTACAATACACATAATAATTCGCACTATTCATACATGTGCGGATGGCAATAAGAATTACTGTTACGAATGATCACCACAGCAGTTTCACATTAAAAATTTCCTTTGCACAGTGCCTTGGATGAACCAGACATTTCACTTCCAGTCTGCCGTCAACTCGAACAAAATAACAATGTCTACAACGTAACTTCAGCATACTTTTCACCTGTAATATTCATTTTTTTAAAATGTAACTTCCATTCTATCCGAAAGGTGACTATCATAAAATACTACTATTATCCTTGACAACAACTCTTATTGTTATTCTAGCCTACGCAATTGTTACTTATTCACGAATATTCAACAAAATTCCGAGGAAAATTTGTCGAATAATACAGTGGTGAATTTCAATCAAGACTAGATATTAGTTTAGAAGTATCAGTTTCAAAAGGGAAGGATTTTTCACTGAATCTGACTGAATAAAAATGCCGTCACTAACTTTCTCGCATTAACAACGATATCAGCTAATTCAACAACTATATGACAATGAATTCGCATGAGAACAAACAATCAAAGGTGTAAAAATGGAAATGAAGCAAACCTTGAACGCTGCACAACTTTCTTTTAACGGTGACTGAATACCCAACAAGCCTCGATAAGTGGGTCGGATCGCATTAACACTCGTCCTTATAACACGACCAAGAATGTTTGAAGACATCTGAAAAACAACAACTCCTCAACATTAACTAATTACAATAGTAAATTTGAATATTGTCGCTACTTCCCTATGACTCTGTCAACTGTTTATGAATTTAATCGTACGTACCACACCACATAATGTTCTAATTTTAGTACCTTATTTCATAAATTGTTCAGTGCAAAACCAGGTTACAATCACGCATATAAATGGGGTAACCAGACGGAATATAGACAGTTCGCCAAGCGCAAACGGAGTGACAGTTCGCCAAGCAACGAAGGTCGCATTTTCATTTGATGTGTTCAGAAATGGGAATTTCTTACTCATTGAACGGGAATAAATCCGGGCAATTTATATATCGTTTTGTAGCGCAGATCCAGAAAAATATTAATCTGAAATATTAATCTGAATTTGAATACTTAGTTCCTTGGATTTGTTCAATAATTTGTTGAATTAGCTCCTTTCTGATTAATAATGAACATGTTGGTTCAAAAAAATGTGTTTAGACATGCCCCGCATCGATATTTCAATAATTGTTCGATCCCGGGAT